CATAATTCGTTTGAACTTTAATAGCTACATATTTCTGAGCAGTATTCTATAGCAGGATTTCTATTTGATCATTGATGAAGTGTCCCACATATGATGGCATTATAAAGTACGATTGCGAATTGGAATTTTTAAAATGGCGTTTCATTCTAAGGAAATATCGGTATAAACTAAGACTTTAAAACCGTTGAATAGTAACGAACAACCTGTATTTAAGGAAAATAGATGTTTTTGTAAAACCACTCTTTCTACAAAATCTCGTTACTTATTGGCGCGAGACCGTAATAATAGCAATAACTGTGACAAGACTTACTAGAACCAATTTTACGTTGTGTTATTATTTATGTTTGTAAATTTCTTAATGCATAATGTGAAATATTTAATTGGTCAATTTCAATTAAATGACCGTAATCATGATATAATGTCATGGGCATGTAATTTGAAATTATCTTACCCAAGCAGCTCGAAGGGAACACTAAGAAGTATAAATGGATAAGAATTAAAATAGCAGGTAGGCCAGTAATTAATAAGTAGCAAGACAAGTATCATCCAGCTAAAAATCGTTCAGAATAAGGAGAACTAAAAACTATTAATTATAATAAGGGAAGCATTGATAAACCATCATATGGGGAGTGCGATAGACTTACCTCCACTTGGTGCACCGTGGGCAACGTATACTCATACAGTAAAAATGTCTATCAATCGGTAGTTGACTTTTCACTTCAAACTGCCTTGACCCAACTCTATGTCATATTCCACCACCTTCACAGTACTCGCCTTACCCTACTCTCGACCTTTGTGCTGTCTCTTTTACATCTTTGAAGCAATCTTCTGTACCCTTTGTGGAACCTGAAGTCAACTAAAGGGCTAATGATAACTATCAAAAAGCCTGCTATTTGAAGTAAATAAATAAGCCATCAAATGCCCTCAATAAATTAGAATAATTTATGGTTAAACATTGTATACTAATAATTATACCTATAAATTAATATACTTGAGTATTATAACTCAGTGTATTAATAAGAAAATAATTTGTACAGAAACCTTATAATATTACTATTAAAATTAAGTAGAAATTAATTCTATAGTACTTGAACGTTCTTCAACTCGATTTTACATGACTAAACCAACAATTATCTAGACAGTTGAAGGAATTATTAGTTCAATAAAAATCATATATCTATCATGCGGGCTATGTGATAAACACAATGGTAATAATACTACATTATAATTTTTTAATGAATTTTAACAATTTAAAAGTCGACTTATGTGTAGAAAGAATCTTAATAAAATCACTAAAATAAAATAAAAAATAGTAGGTCTTAGCAACTGCGTACCTTGCATTTAGGCTATCAAAATAACTTCAATAAAAACCTTTGATAGCCAAAACACTTGGCATACAAATAAATACTGACTATTAATCAAAAAATCTCATTGACAACTTACAATGTAACCACTAGAATTGTCAAAAGTTGGTACTCGAAAAAAATAATAAAAGAGAAACTCATAAAGCTAATAGCATAGGAGGTTAAAACGTACCACTCACGCTTTATAGATAATGGCGTATTCATTGCGTCTGCCCTTATACATGCTTTAATATCAAATAATGCCTCAAGGCTACTGAATAATATCATAAATACTAGAAATAAAAATTGTACATCTCCTAAGATCCTTTATTCCAAAATATGAATGAAGTCAGAGAAAGAAGAATTAGAAATGAGAATATTATTATTATTACCTCTCTTATGTAAATAAAATAGATGTACAATCGAAAAGCCTAATATTGCAAATCCCAAAGAGATATGAGCGGATAATATATGGATCAAAGTTGTACTAAAAGAGAGAACCCACTAACTATCAACTCACCGCCAATGGACAGAGAAAGTGAAACGGGTTAGCTGCTTTATGGCACCTCAGTGCAGCCAGCCTTCACGACTCCTCGTCGTTTGTAATGGTATTGGTGAATTGGATCCTCCTTCCAATTGTTCCCGAATAATTATAATTAATGTCATATCTGATTGCAACGCTATGTCCATTTTGAACTTTACAAAAGAAGACTAATTATCTCAATTTCAAAAGAAATACCAAATGAAACCAAGTAGCTCCTCATAGTGTCAATGGACTGTCAGATTAATAGGGAATAATTGACTTAAAAAGTCATGTGGAATCACATGCTCCTTGGACAAGCGAACGTGTATGAGAAGAGAAGAAAAGGAAGAGTAAGGAGCAGCACCCCGTGGGGGGGGGGTGAAGGAGTAAATTTCGAATTGTGAGGACCAGGTGAAATAGGCTACTACTATCAACTGACCGATGTCGGCTTCTTTGGTTGTTGGCAGTTAGAATAAGGGTATTAGGCAGTGGACTGAGGGGCACTGCGACCACACACCCATTGCATTTTATCTCTCATTCGTTATAAGTCTCAATGTGATTTTTCACCGGTTCAACTTATTCAAATTCAAGCACTTTATGTGCCAATTGTAGTTTATTCAGCTGACTTATAGTTGGGGAATTTCAATCTCCTTAAGATGTATGCAAACATAATTACTATATGCATTGGACAAGGATCGAGTTATAAGAGGAACTATTTGCAGTAGCCAATGTGAATATCTAACCGCAGAGGTATAGAGAAAGATTGAGAAGAAAACGTGGTACTCTTCATGTACTTCTGCATTAGTACTTTTGGAGACTAGGCGTTCGTAGACAAAATTGTCCCATTAATGAACTAAATTAGTTGATAGGCTTAATATATTACGATTTATTTGTGAAAAATATTTACATACAAGTATGACTTTCAAATGCTTTAATATTAAATTGATAGGTCATAAGCCCGAGTATTGACTCTCCGAAGCTTCAGGTGAAGATGATCTCCTCCAAATTTAACTATTTTGACAGCTTGCGTGTAGGTCAGGGTTTCTGTCGGAACACCATTTATTTCTAGAACCTTGTCTCCAACCTAAAAGCGAAAAGGAAATAGTGTTTAAAGGAAGGTTGAAATTGCGGAAGTGGAGAAGTACTCAGGAAGTATGTTGTTACATAAAGCACAAAATGCTTTGAATTTGATCAAAAAGACCTCTTGAAAATCTAGACCACCATTGGAGGTAACGACAACAACAGCAGCAGCAGCAGCAGAAAAGATGCATTGGCAAGAATTACCTGAAGGCGAGAAGGAACGTGGACGAGGCCATGTAGCAGTATCATTCAGGTCTGGATATGCTGATTCGGTGACCAAAACCTCTGATTCAAATGCTCAAAAGACTCCAAGGCATACTCTATTGATCTCAAAGTTCATGCTTAATAAGAACACGAACACTTTGTGATAGGAAAAGTAAGATTTGATGACTGGTAATAAATAGAAAGAACTGGGTCCTATTCTATCATCCAATCGGGATCTTTTTTCGATAGGGAGTCCCTTCTTTTCTCTTCCAAGGCAAGTTTTTCAATTGGCCTTTTAAGATAAAAACCCATGTGTTCTACATCATAAACATTGCTGCTTTGGGCATGCCAAGCAGGAAGTTAACCATTATGGAGGACAACTTGAATTCGTTTCTATGGTGCATTTAACACAACCACATTCTGGATAAGTTGGCAGTGGTTTCATTGAAGTGTCAGAACTTTCTTTGTTATTGGCTTTCGACGTTGACTCACTTGCTTATTCCTACTATTCCGCTTGAGACACCGAATTTCTTGGTCGTGATATCAGTGAAAGTGGAAATCATGGTGTTGATACGACATATGTTTGGCAGCTAACAACTCTCAATCAAGAAATGTTGAATTACTTTGAACGTCTGATCACTTGGAGATGATTACCTGGAGCCTATACGTTATGTCAATTGAAGTTAATTGTCATTCAGAGTAACGGCTGCAGATATGTAAGCTTATTTTGGGAATATTTTGTATTTTGAGATGCTGGAAGTCCTATATTAGCCGTGTTGAATTTTTGAAACCTTCGCATTAAATAAATAAAATGGTAAAATGAGGTCTTTTTTATCAACGTAGACAAGAGTAATGTTCAAATATATATAGAAGTGTTTACAGCTGTGTGCAATTCTCCTATTTGCTTCCTCACAATTACTGTTCCCCCCCCCCCTCCCCTCCCCACAAAAGAACCGAAATCGGTCATCTCTCTCCCGAATGAATTTTATGCTTAAAGAGATATCACACCAACAAATGTTGATAATTGATCATAATTAACGCACTAACATCTGTTATCTACAAATGATAAATATACAAATTTTGCAAAGTTAATGACAACTTCCACCAAAGCATTAGACTTTCAAATATTGTATAGCAGATCATAATTTAAGGAAAAAAAGCATAATAAGCTGTTTCTTTTAATTAAACGCTTTGATTTTTATTTGTGGTACCAGTAACGGAATAAGTGTATGGTTCGATGCCAATTACAGCGAAATGTGGATAAATTAACAATATTGTGATGGTATGTGACTATGGGGATTCTTGTAAGATAATTCCCATAAGGCATGTCTAGACTAATAGCCCAATTGTCTCGTTAAACTGCCAGTCCATTATGTGCAACTGTTGAGGCAGTTATCTCCCGTCTATTAAGTTATTGTGCCTATAATGTGTGAACTAAGCTGGGTCTAATAATGAAAGGCTCTAATACTGAATCATTCCCAATTAAATTCATATCATTCCAAAATTAGAGGATTCATGACATGAAGAATGCCTGGACAAAAAATATTTTGGCACTTGAAATACAAGATCATCAACGGTACCCGTAGGATTCCCGTTGTTTGAACATTTGGGCTAAGTTGAGGCGAATTTAAATGGGCCAAAATCTCCCTTCTGGAAATGCCTTCCAAGTTATACAACTGGTCATGATGCCTAATTTTCCTAAACACTTTTCTCGCATTCTGGCCAGACATTTAATTTAATTTGTCAAATTGACTTAACGTTACCATTTCTAAGCCGATTGCAAGAAGTCATTTTCCTCTCCATTGACTTGCTTCAAAATCCAACTTTCTATCCCCCATTTCAAAACACTAACTTTCATTATCACTATCAAAGAACACCTATAGGGATATCGATGTATATCATGACGATCAGTATTCTTCTTCGAAATAGTTGACAGTAGATGAGTGCAGGTCCTGTCTAGACAAATTAGTTCGTCGATGCTGCTGCATTTAAATCGCTCGTGATTTTTGGTCATTTCGGCTAAATAAATAGTCTAGAGGGCTTTGCATTCACTGCTAAAATAATGGCAGTTGTCAGTCCCCGGTTGTCAAACTGGTAAAACATGACTCAAACCACTGTGACTCACTGGTGTTGAGAACAAACTGATATGTTTTGGGGTAGCGAATACAAAAATCGAAAAATGCACATCCCTAGAGAACTGTGTAACATTTGCAAGTTTTTTGACAATGATTAGATGGCACAGGTTGTAATGTGATTGCAACGGAAGTTTTTCTCAGTAAGCGAGATTTCGGAGTAACTTTTTGAATTTTATTTCGCAACCTATAAGTGCCAGAAGCAACTTATTCATATGACTTGATTTTTTTTATTTCTAATAAATTCCACAAAGTTCAAAAGTGGATGTGATGGGAGGATGTGTAATATGGACGATTTTATCGCGACCAAAATTGAAATTTTCATCACTGAAGTATGAATAACCCAGTTTTGTGAGTGATTGAATCTAACATCCGCATTCGATAACTTCGGAGCCACAGAATCGATAATCCTCAACGCAATTTTAGATAACAATATAACTAATTAGATAAATAAAACCATTGAATGGTAAAATGTATCTTTATAAAATCTTTAATCGATGCAGGAAAACTCTCGAGGAATATTCTCTTTCAATGAAATAAATAATTTTTGCTAAATAAGTAGTACTAACCAATTAATAACTAAATTATGGTAAGTTTACCAATATAATTCGCGCTTTGGTAGTGTTTAGCCATAGTTTTTAAATTTCGCTGAGAGTGAGTCAAATTTCAAGTCTTTGTACACCCTTGAAATCGAACCGATATCTGCTATCCAATTGCTGAGCTATATTTAACCTAAATTCCTTCCACTTTAATTCCTAATAAGTGAAAATTAGAGCCATCTCCCATCATCGTTAATCTAGTTCGATACAATTAAATTCGTGTTAAAAACGGTACCCCACCTGCATTTTGCGGTCGTTGTAAGCTGGGCTTCCCTTTTCAATTCGAAGGATAACCATGGATCCCTTCTGCAGCTCTGGATTCATTCGAACAGAAAATCCAAACCCTCGACTATCTGATAATAGTTCGACGTTGTAGCTCTCTGCCTCCTTAAGTTTGCACCCAACCGGTGTCGACTAGAAATATTGGAAGTCAATTAAGTTAGCGGCTTTTAATGATCGAATTGAAGGGGTGTGCGATAGACTTACCTCCACGTAGTGCACCCTGGGCAACGTATACTTATACGCCAAAAGTCTATAAACTGGCAGTTGACTTCTGACTTCAAACTACCATCACCCCACTGTATGTCATTTTTGACATCTACCACAGTACTCACCTCACCTTTTTTATACATTTTCTACTTTCGTCTATGATACATTCTTCTGTCCCCCCCCCCCTTTCTCGACTTTTTTTCCACTTCGAAGTTCTATCCCCTCTGTGAAGTCTGAAGTCAACTAAAGGGCTAATGATAGCCATCAAACGCCTGGCATTTAATATAAATAAATGATCGAATTGATAACTTACTCATTCTTAGACGAGCGGCGTTTTAAAATCCTAAATTATCTCCAATATCGATTTCGAAGGGAGCGGACTGATCTTTCGATTTAATATAGTATGCGTAATTTCTTAAATAAGTGAAAGCTGTCGTAATTCCAATTCATTTGCCTTTTTATGTTTCTAAATACACATAATTAAAGATCAGTGCACGCGATTGATACCGACCAATTAGAGGGTGTATATGAAATGTGACTGGTTGCCAATAAAGATGATTAATATATTGAAAGATCGGATTCCTGATCTTATCCCCAATAGATCTAAATGGCCCAAGGCGTTTGGTCACAAAACTCTTGAGAAGAGAGGCACAGGAGGCGTTAGTTAAACTCAGTAAAATCATTTAAAAGCCTACTTTTCTTCTGCTAATAAATAAATTTTTTAATGCCATTTATTATACTATTTAGGGGTGCGCGATAGACTTAACTCCACGTGGCGCAGACTGTGCAACGTGTATTCAAGTGGCAAAAACGTCTATAAAGGGGTAGTTGACTTCAAACTACAATGACCCAACTGAAGGTCTTATTCGACGACTTCCACAGTACTCTCATTACCTTTTTCTCTACCTTTTTGTCTATCTCTTTTACATCTGTGAACCACTCTTCTGTTCCTCCCCCCTCCTCCCCTCATCCACTATTTATGACATTGATGCTCCTCCCATCTGTGAAGTCCGAAGTCAATTAAAGGGCTAATGATAACTATCACAAAGCCTGCCATTTGATATTCAATCCGTGTGCATGATACGATATTTTACTCAGACATTTTCCCAAGTGATTATCAGATAATGAAGTTAAAGGATTAACTTACAGATCTGGAATTCCAAGATGAATCAATCGATTCAGGAACTGTTTCAAGTAGGGATGTTTGCTGAAGCTTTTTGCGTTCACTCGATCTACTACTGGACCGTAGGAAAGCCGGTGTTCGAGTGTTGTTTTCTAAAACTAATTTGGGAAAGTATTTGTGATAATTTCTTTACACCCATAACAAAATAAGAAGCACTTTTCACTAGTAATCACGGGAATTAAATATTAGAGTAACAAGTCATGAAATACCAATTATATATATATATATATTAAATTTTGATCCTATTTCAGACTCACGCATCGATTCGCTTTTTTCCCTTAAATAATGCTTTGTGCAAAAACAAAATTTATCTTAACTAAAACAATTAATTCATTATCAGTTTATGTTTCCACATTTGTATTTAAATTCTTTAAACAGTTGTACACTAAAACCGAATAACCTAATTTTTCAAATTTATATCACAGAATGATATTTTTGATATTTTGAATATTTGAAACTTGGCTAACTCAAAATTCAGGCGTTAAATTTCTGATGGAGTATTAAATGACGGATGATAAGGTAGCTTGAATGACATGAATTAGAAGTACCTGGAATTCTAAAAGTGTTTGACGGTTCCTGTCTTTCCATTGTGAGTTCTAAGCGACGATGCTGAGTGCAGAGTTGTTCCACAATATCAGAGTGAGATATTTTGGCTAGTGAATGTCCATTTATTTCAGTGATCTTGTCTCCAACTTGAATACGCCTACTTCTGGCAGCAGGACCACCTGGGATAATAGCTCCTAGTAAATGAAAAATAATTGTTAATGAAATAAATTTAATTACGCCACCACTATAAATGTTCTTCATTCATTGTTAGGCATTAATTTTATTCTCCAATTGGTCTTTTGTCTTAGCGATTCAAAAATTAGTAGAAATCGGTTTGAAATGGGAGTGCCGTTCTGAATGGAAGTGGGGTATTGTAGGGAAAAAAGGCTTATGGTAAGGAAAAAACTATTTTGTTTTTTGAATATTTTGGCAGTGTCAACTCTACTTTAAGATTAAGCAAACTGTCGGAGACAATAGAACTACTTTTTTCTCGACAACAGAAAACTGCCAGAAATTGGTAGGCGAATTTAGAAAACACCTTGGTTTGGGTTTGGGGAAATGAAGTTCCACGAGGAGGAGGGTTTGGATTTTAATGAAAAAATGTTCCATTTGATGAGAGCCTTTCATCTTTTTGAATACAATTTGAAAATGAAAAATTCCATGTTTTTGCCATACAAAAAGAGAGTACTGAATGCCGGTTTTTCGCACTATTAAATAATTTATCGAATTTCTTGCTTAAAGATCTACTTGTTAAATGCCACACATCCATTAGGAAATGAAATTGTTTCTCACCCTTTAGATTGTGATTCGGTGTATTAATTGAGCATCGTCTTTAGGTGAACAAACATTTATTAAGAACCAAGGTTTGAGAACGTATTTTGTACTGCCAAATTTGCTGAGTTCAATTCAAAATGTTTATCTTAGCTATGAGTGGTTGATAACAATATTTTTTCACACATTTACATCCATTTTGTAATTACTTTTAGTATATCCCATTCTTTGGAACATTTTAGAACAATTGACTCGTTGTGCAAATAATGTGTCAGATTTGCCTAAATTGTAAGTACCGAAATTTCTATTAATCTTGTGCGAATTGAGGTGATTAGAACTGTACAATTTCACTCATTTTGTATAAAGTGAATTTTCTGCTGTTTCATTCGTATGTGACCATCTAGTTTTTCTTGGATCATTTTGAATAAATAAAAGATTGCATTGAATTTTTAAAGGCCAACTGATTGGTCAGCACTGAAAATCGTGCTCCAGCTACGTCGCCTACAACATGTTGCTCGTCGACTATTCGTGATTGCTTTTCCGCCTTACTCTCAAAGAGTAAGGATTTGTAGTCCACGCCTTCTACACCAGGACACCAAGGCCAGCCATGTTTTCTGAATATTCCTCACTTTCGATTTTAATGACTGTAATCAATTTGCCTTTAACACCATCGTCTCTAATTGTCCTCTTTTATCATCCACTAAATTCAGCCATAGTAGAATCTGAACCAGTATACACGTCGAAATATTCCAATGAAAACCAAATTCATATGGCACTTTTCAAGCCATTTACCGTCCAAATTAGTTAAGCAATTAGTTACCACGCTTGTGAAGCCGTCCAAGTTGTCAAAGGCAGGCGTTTTAAAATGAAACCCCGCGTTTGTCGACATAAAGAGTGAAGTAGAAAAAAAGTTTCCTTTAGTAATAATTTGACAAATGACTTTTTGGTTCGCCCCAAAGGCGGTTAATTTTTCACTAGCTTCAATTCTCCGGCTGTTATTCTATCCGCGCAATGACCATTTCTCCGAGCAAGCGTCTAGTGAAAATGAAACCCACTCCCATAATAGCTAAAAATAGCAATTGATTAAAATGAGCTTCGAATGTTTGCATCGCCAAAAAAAAAGCTACTCAATCCTTTATAATTAAATTATTGATGAGAGGCCAATTTAGTTATTTGTTTCCTTCTATTCGAGTCTGCCTTCTCCCCTCTTCCTTTTGTCTTTGCTCGTCACTCCATTATCAATGTCATTCAAAAAGAGCTGATCACCGTCAACGGCAAATCCCGAAGTTAACTTGCAATTAGCATCCATTTGGCCTCAAGCATAATTCCAAGCTATGTATGTTAAATTAAATTTCTATTTACTACAATATATCATATTAAAAATTATGATTGGCAATATATTTGCAAGTCGATCGTGTTCGCGTTAATAGCGATTAATTTTAGGCATTCTCTGGAAATACAGAGTCACCGGTTCAAAAATATTGATTTCTATTTTTGAATAATGCAAATTGTTCTGAATTATGGTATTTAAATAATACTAAAAGTCATATTATCAACTGTGTGCATTGGTATCAATGGTTTACAGTAAAAGCACCTTATTTCATGTACTAATAAGTTGTGTTGGCAACAAGACAATAAGCAGATATTTTGGGAAATGTAAAAATTTTTACCATGTGTTAAATTATATTCCAATAGATTCGGGCATTTCGAATTAGTGAACTTAAAATTAACTTGCTTGAATAGCAAAAATGGAATTTTACTTATTTATATTTTCAATCTGGGGTGTGCGATAGACTTACCTCCACGTGGTGCGCCCTGGGCAACGTATACTCATACGGCAAAAAAAGTCTATTAATCGGCAGTTGACTTCTGACTTCAAACTACCAAGACCGTACCGCATTTCATATTCGACTAATTCCACAGTACCCATCTTTTTTCTACCTTTGTGTCTGTCTGTCTCTTTTACGCCTGTGAATCATTATTCTGTCCCCCCTCTCGACTTTTTGCCACTTTGGTGTTCTTCATCCTTTCTGTGAAGCACGAAGTCAACTAAAGGGCTAATGATNCTTCAGAACTATCAAGCTAAAGCTAACAAATAGTACATAATAATAAAAGACTCAGCTTATGCGAAGATTAATCACGAAGATTTCTTGAGCTTGAAGATTAATAATTAATATCAAATGGCAGGCGTCTTGATGGTTATCATTGGCCCTTTAGTTGATTTCAAACTTCACAGAGGGGAAGGAACATCAAATTGAAAAGAAGTCGAGAGGGGGGAATAGAAGAGTGTTGCAAAGATGTAAGAGACAAACACAAAGGTAGAACAAAGGTGAGGCGAGAACTGTGAAAATAGTCGAATATGGCATAGAGTGAGGTGATGGTAGTTTGAAGTGAGAAGTCAACTGCCAGTCAATAGACCTTTTTGCCGTATGAATATACATTGCCCACATGGGGGTAAGTCTATCGCACACCCCCAAGCTTGAAGATCATTTTAATGTACTTATTAAAATATTTAGAGATATTTATATGTTCTACCCAATGTTATATCATCAACTAAAAAATATATAATTTGTTCCAAAATATAGGAAAAGATGTAAAAATTGGTCTATTTCGTGATTTGTTACATGTGGTGAAAACTTGCAGAAACAAACAGAGTGTTATGATGCGTCCAGACATAAGCAGAAATACTCTGTTAATTTCAGTAAGAATGAATACGGCATCATCGAGGTTCATGTTAATATCCAGACATAAGAAAGGTTATATTATGCAAAGGGTACAATTTTTCTTGAGAATTTAAAAAAACTATTACAAAAATTGTGTAGATACTAGTAATTTCCAATGCAGTGATAGTCAAATTAACTGATATTCTACTAAGTGAGGCAGAATATAGCCATTAATTTAGTTTATAATATTTTTCATCCGAAAATAAGAATAGCTAGTACGAACTACGAAAAGCATATATTTAATTTTCAAATATAGGTTTGTCGATGAACAAACTGACCTTTTTTCTTTGCGTCATCTGATGGTTCATAATTAAGATTATGAATTATGAAAAAACAATGGAAATTTATTTAAATTTTAATAGACGATTCCATTATGTTAGCTAACTACATTATATATTTTACAACTTTTGGATCCCTAGGATGTCATTTTTATTCCCTTAACCATAAAAGGAAGACTTTTGCTAAAATCCTATAATTTTTTAGGCAGATATTGTTCTTTCACGAAGAGCTAACTTTTGACCTTAAAGTAGCATAATGCCAATTCGTCAAATAAATGGCGCATTTAATAAAGCTGTTTTCTTCTGCCCTTGAGCAGTCATTTGGCTCCGTAAGAATGCTAGGTTTCTTTATTTACTATCGTGTTATTTTTAAGCCTACGTTTATAGCTCCTCTTAAAGATTTTATTTAAAAATTTAGAAAACCAGTTCCGCTTACATGACACACAAGGGATTGCATTATAAATGTAGAAACGCGAACTACCCCGCAGAAAGGAGTGTTGCAAGATTTACCGTCCCTGATACTAAAGTCTCATGGGACACTTCCTTCGATTCTTATATCCCAGTTGACTACACTGCCCCAGTAGTACTTACAGCTCCATGGGCTGACAAGTTTTCACAGTGAGCGTCTTTCAACTTCATATTATTTTCACTAAGTCGATAATAGCAGTCATTCAGGACTGGTATATTGGAAATTAAGTATCCTTACTTATTTCGTACGACTTAATAATCATTTCCTCTTTATCTAGGTTACCATTGCCGTCGATTTCTTTCAACCAGTTAGATGGGAAAGTTGATCGAAGGAGTCATGAAGGTGCCTATTCTATAGACTCTGAAGGTCGTCCATTGAATCCGCGCGGACGTACGGGTGTTGTCGGCCGTGGTCTTCTCGGACGCTGGGGACCCAATCATGCGGCTGATCCCATCGTTACAAGGCAAATTTTCCCTTTGAATGCTTGGACTATTTAATGCTATCCTACTTTTCTTCTGTCTTACGTGTAAATTGGAATTAGCAATCACTTAATTTTCATGTAATATTTACGTGAAAGCTTAGGAAATAATGACTTCCTTAAAGAGGAGATACAATCGTTAGGGTTCTTTTACGTGTATTATCATGCCAGATTCTAGTTATTTTTTTCGGCTTTCGGGGTGTGCAATAGACTTACCTCCACGTGGTGCACCCTGGGCAACGTATGCTCATACGGCAAAAAAGTCTATTAATCGGCAGTTGACTTCTGACTTCAAACTACCAAGACCCCGCCGCATTTCATATTCGACTAATTCCACAGTACGCACATTTTTCTACCTTTGTGTCTGTCTCTTACTTCTGTGAATCATTATTCTGTCCCCCCTCTCGACTTTTTGCCACTTTGGCGTTCCTCTTCCTTTCTGTGAAGCACGAAGTCAACTAAAGGGCTAATGATACCTATCATAACGCCTGCCGTTTGAAATAAATTTTTCGGTTTTCAGGTGGAAAGTTGATGAACTTGGCTCAAGAGTCTTGGATCCCAAAAGTAAAAAACCTATTCTGCAGTTTGTGGCTGTGAAACGAAGGGACAACGGGGAATGGGCATTACCTGGTGTAAGTGTCATTACCATTTATTTCTGATCAAACCTCACATGATGGCTATTTTGTTTTATAATATGACAGTACTTTTAATAAAGTGGTTATTGTTCTGTCTATTCACGTGATATCATGGTCCAGTACACCTGGAAGNATTAGCCCTTTAGCTGACTTCGGACTTCACGAAGGGAAGGAACATCAAAGTCATCACAAGTGGAGTTGTGGGGAGGGGCAGAAGAGTGTTTCAAAGATGTAAAANTTCTATTTTTGAATAATGCAAATTGTTCTGAATTATGGTATTTAAATAATACTAAAAGTCATATTATCAACTGTGTGCATTGGTATCAATGGTTTACAGTAAAAGCACCTTATTTCATGTACTAATAAGTTGTGTTGGCAACAAGACAATAAGCAGATATTTTGGGAAATGTAAAAATTTTTACCATGTGTTAAATTATATTCCAATAGATTCGGGCATTTCGAATTAGTGAACTTAAAATTAACTTGCTTGAATAGCAAAAATGGAATTTTACTTATTTATATTTTCAATCTGGGGTGTGCGATAGACTTACCTCCACGTGGTGCGCCCTGGGCAACGTATACTCATACGGCAAAAAAAGTCTATTAATCGGCAGTTGACTTCTGACTTCAAACTACCAAGACCGTACCGCATTTCATATTCGACTAATTCCACAGTACCCATCTTTTTTCTACCTTTGTGTCTGTCTGTCTCTTTTACGCCTGTGAATCATTATTCTGTCCCCCCTCTCGACTTTTTGCCACTTTGGTGTTCTTCATCCTTTCTGTGAAGCACGAAGTCAACTAAAGGGCTAATGATACCTATCATAACGCCTGTCATTTGAAATAAATAAATATTTTCAACCTTAACATAGAAAATTTGGCCCAGGGCATTAATTTTTGCGGGTGTCTTGGCTACACACACTGGCTTCCTACCTAAGCTTATAATCAATCAAAATCCTACTTTTTTCCGGTATCTTTATCAAACGCATCTGACACCAAAACGGCCTTTGCTTGCTTTATGCTCTGAAATATATGATAAACTACCGCCATAAAACCGGCTTATCTATTTAAATTTTGTGATTCCTCGCTTTGTTTCCGCTAGAAATATTTACCTAAAACTGTTGTGAAAATATGAATTATCAAGTAATTAAAATTTTTGGATAAATTTAAATAAATTGGCGGTTCCAATACAAATGTCAAAAGAGTTTCTACATCGATGTGTTAATAAAATTTACATTTAAAATAACACAACTTGTGAAGATTACGCAACCAACTTCCTTTAGAATCTTAATAAGCAGATGTTTAAAATTTTACATCACAAATTACAATCTGATTAACACAACTTAGAAAGGAGAAGCGAATTCAAATTGGATTGGTTCCAATTATTTTAGAAGAATAGTTTCCCATAAACGGTTATAAAGTTCTCAAAAAAAAATGAAAACGGTCAATTCGCCTCCACTTTCAGAGGTCATTAAAAACAGGTCCTTCTTTTTAATCTAAGGAACAATGTGTTTTTTCTTTGCAATTTTTTGGGTTTTTCACATGAAGAGAATGTTAAAAATATAAAAACAATAATTTATTCTGTGACTTAAATAAGATCGCGTTACGATTGAAGTGATCATTCCTTTTGTAAAATTTAAATTTGAACCTCCGTTAATTATGGTACTCTGAAGGGACTCTCTTTGACGCAAAGATCAACATTTGTAATGATTTTCTGATTTGTGATATTTGAAAAATTTGCGTCATTTAAAGAATTAAAAGAACAAAGGCGTTGGAAACTTGAAGTTAAACTTGACAGGAGACAACTCACTTTTCTGCTAACTATTTTCCGATAGGGTTAAAGTTTTTTTTACTAACCAAAGTTAAATTTTTGGCTGTTATAGCCAAAACAGTTCAGTCAAACCAAAAACTACCGCCGTGTCTAGCTCAAGTTGTCTGCGTCTAGTGCTGCAAAAAGGTCAAAAGAATTAGATCTTCTTCATTGCTCCACAACCTCGAGGTTCCTTCATCACTTAACCCCATCCCCCACCCCCCTATGGGTGATTGCAATCCCAGAAGTAGCCTTCTTGTAAATTTATAGGACGTATATTCGCCCCGCGAACATATTATCTAAACCTGCGGGGTGTGCGATAGACTTACCTCCACGTGGTGCACCCTGGGCAACGTATACTCATACGAAAAAAAGGCCACAAAGCGACAGTTGACTTTTGACTTCAAACTACCATCACCACGTTGTATGCCATTTGATATAAGTAAATAGAAATAATCCAAACCTGCAATGTAGCAAGCTTGTCCATGTGGACAATTTCATGAGCATATTTTTTTTCCAAAAGGCGAAAAGCCTGTAACAATCTCTAACACCATGAAAAAAATGTTTCAGTCGAAGATTTTGCATAAAGCTACCAAGGCTTTCAATAAAATTACGAAATGTTGGCTAACAAATGTTTGTTTTAAGTTAACTTTATACAAGCAAGAATGCCCATGCAATAGGCAAAAGTAAACACATTGATTATTTCATTAAAAGATGTGAAAAAGATTTTAAGTAATTAAATAACGTAAGTGGATTCGTGCCAAAAAAATGCCATTTAAGAATGCTCAGTAACAGCTGAAGCCAATTAAATGGGATTAGGATTTCTCCGAAGTGCAATTTTTATGCAATTACGCCTCCAGATTTATTATTGAGATGTGTCGTATCTTGTTTTCAAGTGAAATTTATTAGAAACCACACATTTAAAGTACTTTGATGAACGCAAGAAAATTAAAAGGACGAAACCTTTGCAAGGTTTTCGGTGAATCCAATTTTAATGACTTTCGTCAAAGATGTTCCCCCCCCCCCATAAAGATTACATTTCCCTGCTAACCCACTATCTTAAATAATTACTAACATCAAATTGGTAATTTATCCGTGGATACGATTTTTTTTAAGTAAATCGTTAGACAGGGTAAATTGTTTCTATACTTTTCTTACCAATGTGACAACCTCTATCGGGGCTGAGGGAACGGTTCATTGAAAAGCCAAATGTTTCGTTTGGTCGCCGATGAAGTTTGACCTTGAAAATGGAGGACCTTGCACTTTGATCACCATTTAAATTCAGAGGTCGTCGGATTGGCGAATTCGGTTCGCTCGAGGACGATGTAGAAAATCCTGAAAGAGAAATAAGTACATTGATAATTTCTGAGGAATGAAATGTGAATTATTTAATTTATTTACAAGAAAATTTTGGGAAGTTTTCAGTGGTTAAGAACATCGATGCTTTCACCGGGGACAGTAGATTTCTATTCCTGTTAACATTTATTCATCGCGATAAATGCAGATTTTTAAGGAATTTGCATTCGCTTAATATGAAAAGTGGTGAGAATTGACTGAAATTTGCGTTGGGTGAGTAGAAAATTCATTGAAATCTCATTTTAAAGAGCATTTGCCTCTTTTATTGAATTAAGTCAATTTGAGTGGTTGGTCTATCTAACCAAGTCAAAATTTTTATCCTCAAAATAAAGCACACATTAATAAATAAAAACATGGGAAGTAGTATTGATTTTAAATGGGGCACGATGATTTCAAATAGATTTCCATCCATACAAATCCGTACAAATCGTTTACTATCTAAAGATACTTCAGTGTTTCGAGCATATGTTGCAAATAGGGATGCAGTAATTCAGTTCTATTTGTGGACCTACAACCTACTAAACATGAAGTGTCTATTTTGGCCAAACGAAATACTAATTTGAGTCCATTAATACCAGCTTACTTGTATGAATGGACGAATTTTCACTGAAAGATCTCCTGAATGATTGCTGGTGGTTCGTTGGTGAAGATGTTCGAATTGACTCCGTTTGATCCGTAGATGAGTCATTTAATGATCTATAGAGGGCAGGTCGTTGACCTCTCAGCGTCAAAGTAATGGGATTATTAATCGTTGGCGCTGCTGCCATTAGGAGTTGTACAACGGAATTATGAGCCATCCCAATAACCGAAACTCCATTAATGGCGATCAGTAAATCACCAGGAAAGACGTTTCCACTTAGTTCGGCCTGTCCTCCAGGCGTAAGAGCCCCAACACGAACCTGTGGAAGTAGATGAATGTATGCCTTAGGATGATTTTGTTGAATACGGATTTTCGATTTCTTGATGTTGCCATCACTACCAATGCATATTTTGCCTTAATTTAGAAAACTGACACTAACTCGATCGATGTCTGTAGAGGAAATTTTCACTTGATTAATTAATTTGCAATTCTGTTGGACTCGATTGTAGGAGACAAAACTCAAATCTCCAAGAAAAGGAATGAAACAGATTTTTGCCAATTCCGGAGTCAGTAATTGAAGAGTTGAAAGATATGAAAAATTTCAGATTTAGAAATTGAGTTATTTACGCTGGGAAACAATAAAACCGCCAATACGTTTGTGAGTAGTGCTATAGTGATAATAGTGAGCGGACGCTAGTGATAGAATTTAACAAATTCGTCTATACCTAACAAAATCTGACCTGAAATTGTGTAGAGTTCAAAAACAGAAGAAATGTCTTTTCTAACCCCCTCCTCCCTAATTCAGAATTCTCGCCGATCACATTTCTTTCGAGTATTTCATGCAAAGGCATTCTTGAAAGATGCCAATTCATCTTTGAAACAAGACAGCATAAAAACAGGTAAATGACTTAAAGGGAGTCTCTGTTCAAAGGTTGGGAAAAGTAATGGCTTCACTATTGAGTCCCTTGTTTACTTGTTAATTTATTAAAAATATAACAATAAGTAATTCATTTTGTTTCTACTTTCCTCTACTCCTATAGTAGTCCAAACTATTTATTGGCAATGTGGAATATTTTAATCTTATTTATCTATATAGTGAGACTTATTGCTGACAGAGGCAAAATTTGGAAAACGATATATCGAGATGAAATGTATTCTCCCATAAAAAAGACTAAACTAATTTTTAATCAATTACAACTAACGCTAAAATAATTTTGCATTTGCCATTTGATCAGTCTGAGTGTGTCAGCTGAATTGATAAAATGGGAATGTTGTATTTAAACACAAAATTTTATTTATCGATTGAGAAATCCAAAAAAATCGAGTTGTATACATACATGCATACATATATATATATATATATATATATATATATAACTGTTCTCTAATAATTCAGTGTTGGTAATACCTTTCGAAAAGTTTACTAACAAATTATTGACAAGAGCACAAATAATTCTAAAAATTAAAAAAATGATAGTTCATGGTGATGTGAAGTTCAGAGAGGTTGAGCTATTGTTTAAAACCAACAGGATGAATTTATTTTAAATAATCTAGCACTCGGTTATTAGATCCTAATTCTTAATACATTTTTAACATCTATTAAGTATTTGTACTTTTGCAATTATAGTAAGAAACCTAAATAGAGTTTT